CCAACCGACTGGAAGAGATCAACTGAACCACAACATATATAAAGAAATATGAGGAGGACCGGACGTGATTAGTGGCAGTCCAGCCTGCACGTAGGTGGGCTTCGGGGTTATTCAGAGTTCAGCCTGCAAAGAGGTAACTCTGGTTTAATAATTAAAGAGAAACCTTTGTCTTCTGTTCCGCAAATGGGCTGAGAACTCTAAGGTCTCTCTTCCCGTTAATCATATATCATATAATCATATATAAGGAGTTTCGGTCTCCCGATTCTTTTTATGTGAAAGGCAACATCTTTCATAAGGAACAGAGTGGATGTCCTCCCTTGCTCTATTGTTTCTGTACTGATTTTTTACGATTCTAAGAAAGTTGAGAAATGAGATCACTGTTTATTATGATTCCATGGAAACCCTAGAAAATGAGGTCATTGCTTAAAACCCAATATATTCTAATATACCCGGACCCACGAGGTCTGCTGCATCTTGTCCTGTCTGTGTGAGCGTGTTTTTCTTCGCGACAGTCCTGTCTTGTCTTCTGTGTGCGTTTGTCTCTTTTTGTTCATTTTTTCAAGGCATTGTGTAAAGGGTAGTGGTTTGCAACAGAAATATATAAACAGAATATATGTAAATAAATGGACAAGGAGGTATTATGCATTTGCCTAGTGAGAAGAAAATATAGAGAGAAAGATTAAAGTTTTATTTTTTAATCATTTATTAGTTATTTACTCCTGTTTGTTTAAACATACAAAGAAATATAAGAACAGAATATATGTAAGTGGACAGAAATATTGTGGTTTAAATCTGCTCAGTAATAAGAAAATAAAGAAGGAAAGACTGAAATTTTATTTTTTAATCAGATATTGGCTATTTACTCATTTTTTGTGTCCAGAAGATTAGGTTAATATTTCTGATGGTTATTCCAATAGCATTCTGTTTTTTTGCTGATAATTCACAGCCTTTAGTACAATTTATTGTAATACATAGTTGTGTATATGTAAAAGCAAGACTAATTTCTATTCACCATTGCATTCTCAGCACCAGGCAAAGATTTATTTAATTATTTAATAAACTATTAGGTTTATTAATTTATTAATTAACAGGGATTACTAGGCCTATCCCAGACAAAAAGCTCCAAAAAGTAAAAAAAAAAAAGAAATTATATAATATAGTACAGTTATTAAGTAGACAAGACAACATGTAAACTCAGGTGTCTTTTCATCAAGTCTACTGCACATTCTAGTATTGATAATTCAAATCTACATTGTATTACTGATGCAAAGAAAATACATTTGTGTGTATATATGTACAAACACACATTTATATATATACGCACACATATATACTTACACAAACATGACAGACTGTGCATGCCTAATCTGACAGAAGAAAGGGGTTTACTATGAAGGTTATCCAACGCTAATAATGTTTCTCCAACACTACAATATCAATACTAACCAAGATGCAGTAAGAGTAAGAAACCCAACTTATATTTACAATTTTGTATTGGATTTTGTTGTTGTTAAGTGCTGTTGAGTCATAGAAAACTCATAGCGACCCTATGAACAAAAGATCCGAACACTTGCAAAACTTTCATCTTTTCTCCAAGTTTTTAGAGTTTCCGGAGGCAAGCTATTTCGGAAGTGGATGCCACTCCAGCTTCCAAGTTTGTTTTAATTGGGAGCTCCACCAAATTCTGTCCATCATGGGTGACCGTTATCACATCTAACACATCAGTGTCACAGTGTTTAGCATCACAGCAACCATGAGCTACCTCTGTACAGCAAACAGACAGACTAGTGCTATCCCACTTAGAAGAATGTTTGACCAAAAACAATTCAAACCAGGCCGAGGGCCACGGATTAAAATCACCCACCTTTTCACTTTCTAACCTCTAGGCCAACAGAGCTCTCTCTATGTTGTTGTTAAGGATATCACTCCTCAAAAGTCTCACATAAACCTCAGTTTGAACACATTAAAAATAAGATCCATCATTTCTCCATTCTTTACTCAGAACTTGCTAGATCTCTTTTATTCGTTAACATCACCATTGACTCAATAATTAGAAACCTGAGAATTAATTTCGACTGCTTCTCTAATACTTTATACAACAAATGAAAATAAGTATGGAAGGAAATTATATGTGGTCTTGAAATTTTCAGTAGGAAAAGGCAAAAAAATCAACAACAGAAGCTGTAAAAACCCACAAGGATTAAAATAAAGAAAAATTCTTTCAATATTTAAAATAAAAAAGAACTGACATATGAAAATTTTATCTGTATTTTTGAAGTTGTATTAAACAGCTAATGTACTAAAAGTTTTAGTCAGAGCATTCTCGATTGGTAAAAACTGAATCTATATTGTCTACACCACTCGATATAACTCTAAAAATTTCCACTCAGCAAAAAAGCTCATGCTAGTTTACCTTTATGCCTTTGGTGAAATGTATCTCCTTGGAAAGGGCTTCACTGACCACTTCTATGCCAGTTAGGTGCCCATTCTATTATTTTCTATCACCACAATCTTTTCAAGGAATTTTGGTGGCCTAGTGGCAAGAAGCTACACTGCAATCCTGAAGGCACATGGTTCGAGGTCAACGGACAATCTCTTCTCGTGTGATTAACTGCCTCTGAAAACCCACCAAAGGGTCTGTGATGGGTCGGTTCTGTCGCTAAAGTACTCAACAACAACAACAATAACATTTCCAGTTCCTCTGAGCACTTATTATAACTATTCAATTATTATAAAGCTAGAACTCTTGGAATTATTTATGCTTATCTGTTTATTGATTTGCAGACTAACTGTAAACTCCTCACAGAGAGAGAATATATCTGTGAAGGATACAAAGGCATTTTTAAGTTAGGTTATTGCTATGTACTGCTGAACTGGAACCAACTTATAGCTAACTCTCCAGTGGGTTTTCAGAGGTGGTAAATCATATGGTTGGAGACTGTCCATCTTTTTCCCCAAAGAAAGCTGATGGATTATAACTGCATGCTTTCAGGTTGGCAGCACGGCTCTTTACCACTAGGATATGAGAACTCTACAAGCTATAAGAGCATGCCATTAGACAGTTTAATAATGTATAAGAGACTTATAATTATAAATTTGGTTTTTTCTACTTGTTTTAATATTTATTATGATTTCTTTATACTCCTAAAAACAATATTCAACTGTGTTTATTTTATATTAGTAGTCGATGTCAGCAGTAAAGATGTATCTTTAAAATTACACTGACGCAATAATTTTATATTTGAGGTATACATGGCATTGTTAAAAATAGCTTAAATAAACAGAATCTATTTCTAGATAAAAAATATCTCAAGAAAATAAGTGTATTATTTAAATGTATTGATGTCTGAATACTTATGTGTTAAATCGGAAAAGTTAAGACAAGCAACTTGTCCTAAAGTTTTAGAATATGGAAATTAGTACATAATAACTTTTTAATAATTTTACTTTTGTGAATTTGATAATATTAATTTATCTATTTGACAACTAAAATATAAATGCAAAATATTTAAAGGATTAGGAACTAAGAATAAGTAACTTATTGAAGTGTCATCATTTTCACAAAATATTGATATTCATAATATATTATTAGAGGACATATGTCTTGAGTAGATTTGTATTTTCAACATTTAGTTTCTTGGTTGAATAATTAGGTATCTTTTAGCAGACAGGAATTTTGTTTTAATTATTTCTCCTACTTTTGAAGTGTTTAGCTTATACAGTTGTAATTTGAGACATTTAAATAAGAAGTTCCTTTTTAAATTAAAAAATATGAATGAAATGTTTCTAGTTCTAGTTTTGATAATTTCTTTGTTTATATCCATTGAAAATGTAGTGAGTAGATACCTAAACAGTATTCAGATACATTTTATAGTCAGAATGTTCTTACAGATTTTATTCATTGCAGATTTAGGAATTCAATTTTTAAAATATAAAATTAACATGAGTTAATATGACATATTTAAAAACAAAAACATACAACAGTTATGCTCTGAAGATTGTAAAAGTTGTAACGTGGAGGGTAGAGCAAATGCACTATCCACATCAAGAAAATATGAGATTGCTTCTAATAAAGTCCAATATATAAACAGAAAGGTGGGAAAAGTTAGAAATGAGAAGGACAATTGTGTGTGTTCTTAAATTTGACAACATAGAGGAAGCGACAGTTTGAAAATTCACTGTCAGATTCTAAGAATAAATTTAGTATTTAGACTGATATATTCTTAACCAAGAAGGAATGTTACTATTAACCATTTGATACTAGTATTAGACCCTTTAAACAGATAATCTGAAAACACAAATTACTAATATAACCAGGGAAGAAATCCCAAGCAGCCATAATAAATTATCTAGTTAACTTATTTTGTATTGGAAGAAAAAAGGCAGTAAAGTGTCTAATACTTTTCTGTCCATATAAATGATTTAATTACTAATACAAATTATAAAAATTAAGATTTGTAATTAACTCCCCTAAAAGGTTGGCATTAAAACTTTCTATCAATTTAGATGATTTCCAAATATTAGGCAGCAACATTCCAAGTTTAGTATGTTTGAAAAAAATTGGAATGATACTAGAGCAGGGAGCTACCCCAGCTTGAATACGGGGAGGGATGGGGCCTTCTGGGTGACATTATTTTATTCTATTAATCTTGTCTATTGGCCGGAAATATTCATCCTCTGTATAAACAAATAACTACACATCTATGCTGATAATGATATTAAAAAAATAAGAAGTTTAAAACAAAGAAACAGAGGGTACAGAAAGTGATACCTTAGCTGGGACATAGAAGTACACATTTTGCATGAAATCTCTATTGTCCTTCTGTTGGCCTAATGTGACAATTTACGAAATGGATGATAACTTTTTTACATTCCATTCATCATTTTTCTTAACATTAACTTGCATGCAATCCAACCTTGATTAGAAGGGGGGAATATTAGTTAGTTTTCACACAATTAGACAGCAGATCAGTTTTAAGGTACTAGGGAACTGTACTTACTTTTGGTGTTGGGCAGGAAGCTGTAGAGAGGCGAGATGTAGCCTGAGCACGTGGAGATTCGGACGGAGTAGTGCTGAGGGAGGCTGTGTCTCGTGGAAGCACCTGAACGCCACGAGAAATGATGGAGTCTGGAATCTGATGAAGTAGAACAACAATGGTTTAACATTTCAAAATGAAAAGTTAACAACCACATCAAATTTTTTTGTTCCTCCTGTTTCTGGTTTGTTCAGTTCCCACATACTTGCTATAATTACTGTTAAGTACAAAGAGATCTGGTGGCTGAGTGGTAAGGAGTTGCACTGTCAACTCAAAAGCACAGTTCAAATCCACAAGCTGCTCCAACCATGAAATTTACTGCATCTAAAGACCACTGGAAGCTTAGTTATGGGTTGGTTCCTCCTCAATGGTACATAATGACAAAAAACTGTTAGGTAAAAATGCATCCAACAAATTAGGAAAAGTAAGACACTTCCAGAGTTAAAATATTTTTTTCAAAGCCAAATAATGCTTTACAACATTTTTTTAGAATTGAGGCGTGATAACACTTTGGTTATAAAGTGCTTGGCATTCATATATTGAGTTTGCCTTTTAGTAGTTTGATATCTTGAGCAAGGTACTGAAATCTGAAATATTTTCCTTTTCTCATGAAGATTTATCCTCTTCGTTTCTTCACACTCTGTGTCCTAATTTGAGTTGGATGGGCAGTGTCAACAAACTATCTGGCTTCCAGTTAGGCTGAGATATGAGACTATTGGCAAAAGATTTAGGATGGAAAAACAGAACTGATATTTATTCATGGTTCCTGTCAAGTGGTCTTTGCTTACAGCTGTCTCTGAGTACTAACAATGGCTCCTATTTACTGCCTCATTAGACTTAGGGATATTAACACATTCCTCCCAATTGCTACTAGTCTCATGGTACTATTCTGTTACTTTTTATAAACTCTACTCAAACCTTTATATATACCACAGATACTAAAACTCTCTTCAATACTTGAGTGTGCTGATTTCTGCTGAGAGGCTGACTAATAGATCCAGTGATTCTACATTTTATTTCTCTGAAAAAAGAGGACAATGACAGCATCCTCTGCACTGGATGATTTACTGCCTCGTCTTATAGGGGTTGTGCTGCAAACCCAAAGTTCAAGCCTCTCTGGCAGGTTGAAACCAGCAGAAACTCCTTGAGAGAAAGATGGGAAACCTCCTGTTCATTTTACAGCCTCAGAAATCTAAAGAAGAGTCAGCCATAACTTGGTTCCAACTCAAGAACAATGAGTTGTTGAGTTAGTAAGACAAGATAATGTATTTTATAAATTATTACATAAATTATTTATAATGTCAAGTAGTAAACAATTATGTTGAGTACAGGTTACTACAGCAAAGAGTACACATGAAATCATCAGCCTGATAAAGAATAATGTAACTGATAACAGTATTCTCAAAATATACAAATAAAAAGAGACAATGCATAACAATTAATAATCATAATTCTTAAAAAATGTACTACTTTAGGCTATGCATAATTAATGTAATGATCTGGGTTAATATAAATTTCAGGTCTTCTAACCACAGAAAGTACTGAAGAGTAATGATGTCAGGGTGGAGGCTAAGGGTGCCTGATCCAGGCCATAGTTTTTGCAATCGATGAGTTTGAGTTGTGGTGATGGTGAAGAATACTGAACATAGTATGGACTGCCAAGAGAACAAACAGGTCTGTTTTGGAGTGGGTGAAACCAGTTTGCTCCTTGGAGACATGGATTTAGAAACTTCTATCACATTCTTTAGTCATGTGGCCAAGAAGGGACCAGTCCTTGGAGAAGGATATCATTCTTGGAAGAATGAACAGAAAAGGAAAACACTGGATGACATGATGACTATGGCAAAGGGTGTGTTGGCGACAGATTGGGTAAGAATAGGGTAAAGTTCAGAGCTATTGTTCACAGAGTCACTGTGAGTCATACTCGACAGCACATAAAACAACAAACTGAAATCACAAGAAGATATCAACTTTCTGCTCAAAGAGATGATTATAATGAAAACCAGAATATAACAAGTAGAGTTGAGAACACAGACATATTTAAAACTTTGTACTTTGCTGGTGGTAATATAAAATAATACAACCACTGTGGAAACCAGTTGCCATTTAGAAACATCATATGACTTAGAAATTCCATGCCTAAGTATATGTCCCAAAACAATGCAAAATGACATTTAAAACCAAAACCAAGAAATACACTCTGCACAGAAATCATATAGTAGCATATTTCTAATACTAAAAACAAAAAAAGTAGATATAACACAATGTTTATTAACTGATCACTAATGATGTGGTTAGGTACTTTAGAGTCAAGTATGAATCATAGTGACCCTATGAACAAAAGATCTGAACCCTGTTCTATCCTGGGCCATCCTCACACTTCCTGACACACAAGAGCCCATTGCAGCAGTCACCGTGTCAATCCATCTGGTTGAGGGTCTTCCTCTTCTTTGCTGACTCTTCACCCTTCCCAGTGAAATCAGAAACAGCTAATCAGCTGACACTTAACTGATATTTGTTATCGTTTTTCTTCATTTCAACTGACTTCCAATCTGGGCTCTATCACTACACTATTATATTAGTGTTTGCAGGGTTTTTAGAGCCCTGTTATTTAGGAAGTAAATGGCCCACCTTGCTTTCTAGTGTGTCTTAATCAAGGAGCTCCACCAAAATCTGTATACCATGGGTTACGCATATGGCATTTGTCACATCAGTGGCACTGATTTCAGTATCACAGCAACCCTAAGTTATCTCAATACAGCAAACTGACAGACAAGTGCTATACAATATTCTCCCAAAACACAATTAACACCACAACTGATAACTAAACAAAAGATGGTATGTCCATACAGTAGGATAGTACACAGCCACATAATGTAATGAACTACTAATGCATGTACAATATAAGTGACCTTGAAAAGATTACATTACGTGAAAGAAAACAGAGATAAAAAGCTATACTTTATATGATTCCACTGAAATATTATGTCCACTAAAAACAAACAGTAGTGGCAGAAAGAGTGGCAATTATAGAGAATAAGGAGTGACTGCTTGATGGATATAGGGTTTATTTTTCTGCTGATGAAAACATTTTGGTGTTAGGTATTAACAATAATTGCACAACACTGTGAAAATACTACAAGCCATTGAATGATCAACTTTAAAATGATGAATTTGATGTTATATGTTTTTTTCTACATACACAAGAAATTCTTTCCTAGTAGAAAGAAATATTTCTATGTTTAAAAAAAATACTTATTCCCATTACCTTCTGCAACTGACAGCAGAAGAGAAAATATATTTGTCTATACCAATTGAGACTGAGATAGTTAACAGTTTTCGTTTACTTTGTTCCACAGTCAACACTCTTGGTAAACAGCAGCCAGGAAATCAGAAGATGAATTGCATTGGGAACATCAGCTGTGAAGGACCTCTCAAGTGTACTGAAGAGCAATGACGTCAGGCTGGAGACTAAGGTGCGCTTGATCCAAGCTATAGTCTTTGCAATTATGTGCTATACATCAGAGAGTTGGACAGTGAATAGGGGTGATAGAAAGAGAATTGATGCCTTTGAGTTGTGGTGCTGGAGAAGAGTGTTGAATATACCATGGACTGCTAGGAGAACAAACAGGTTTGTCCTGGAGAGGGTGAAGCCAGAATGTTCCCTGGACTCAAGGGTTCTGAAGCTTCTTCTGACATACTTTGGGCATGTTGCAAGGAGGGACTACTGGTCCTTGAAGAGGAACATCATGTTTGGGAGAGTGAAGGGACGGTGCAGGAGATGAAGACGGTCGATGAGATGGATCGATTCTGGGAGTGGAGTGGTGGGAATGAATGTGTTTGAGACAGCAAGGTTGGCACAAGATAGAATGGCTTTTAGGGCTCTTGCACATAGGGTCATTATGAGTCGCAAATGACTCGGTGGCACACAACAACAACAACAACCTATGAATTTAATAAAACTACAATTTTACTTTCACTTTCAAATTTCTATTATACTTAGAATTTATTTTTGCAAATTGCATGAGACATAAAAGGGTAAAAACTTTCATTTTCTTTTCTTTCATATTGGGTGTGATGACCCAAAGAATATGCCCACTAATCTCTGGTACCAACTTTGTCATACAGTAAATGCATATACATACACCATGTATCCATATATATTTGGCCCTATTTTCTGTCCCTCGTCTTTACATTCATTCTTGCACCAACAATGCACTGTGTTATCTTTAAAATAAGTATTAATATTTTGTAGAACAGGCTGTACAGATTTTTGTTATTTAAAAAAATTTTTTTAATATTTTCAACTCTGAAAAAGCTGCTTGCTAAATTTCTATAGCCCTTAAAAGTACACACACACAAACACACACACCTTGAAAGTTGAATTTTATTTCTTGTATTTCAATAGCAAAGTATAAAAAGTTTCAAAGATAATCTTCAACTGACAAAGTATTTAACTCTTCGGTAAACGGTATGAAGGTAAATTAGAGTGGGACAATATATGATACTTTAATAGGGGTGTTAATCTTCTCTGTTTTTTCATTGTGTAAGATCATTTCTATTTTGTAATGTTTATGTATTGCTTGCATAATAAGAAAACATTTTTCTTTTCTAGTAAGGAAAACTGCAGTCCTTGACCCTCTGCAGTAAGGGCATAAGGTCCTCCTCAGTTTCAGCAGGCAGAGTGATGTCATCTGCATAACGCAGTTTGTTGACAGATCGCCCACCAATCCTAACGCCACCCTTCTCCTCATAGAGCCCAGCCTCCCGGATAATCTGCTCTGAAGACAGGTTGAAAAGGTATGGAGACAGGACACATCCCTGACTTAAAACCTTTCCCAATTCTGAACCATGCAGTGTTGCCCTGCTCTGTTCTGACCACTGCCTCTTGGTCCAAGTATAGGTTTCGCATTAACACAATTAAATGTTCTGGGATTCCCATTCTTCTCAGAGTCAG